ATATTATATTAAAATATAATTATAGTAAAATTGATATAAAATGATAAGTTTAAAAAATGAATTATTATGCTAGATAAAATTATACAAAGTAAAATAGGAATATTATTCCATTTTTACAAAAAAAAAAAAGAAAGCAGAGGAAAAATAATTTTCTTTCTTATTCTCGACGCTCACTTGCACGTAAAAATCATTTCTGCCAGTCTGAGAATTCGTCGTCAACACAACTAAGGGTAACGCGCAATCACACAGATCAAAGAACCTGTTCATCAGCGGGACATTTCGCAAGATATGCTCCGCATGAAATTTTGACTCGGCAGGAAATCCTCTGTACAAATTTTCCGCCACTTCGAGAATTCTGTCGATCATACCAGGGAGTGGCGACTGAACGATATCTCTCTTTACCACAACAGCCAATAACGCGATGAAATAGCAACGTTTCATCCGTGGCTCCAATAGATTGTCGCGATTGCGAAGAGCTACCGTTCCAAGTATGAAGATCGGTTTCGGTGCGAGAGCGATTGGTTTGAAGATCGCTTTGGCATCATAAGAATCCTGAAGCTCTTTCTCTGGTAGATAAATCTCTGGTAGAGATGCCATCGTTACTCTAGGCTCATGAAGACCTTTGACATCGCTGAAATCTGGTGCTGTTTTCAGAGCGTGGGATATGGTGATCGCTCTTACGGTAAATCCAATCGTCTGAGGCACATTGATCACTTTAACGATCAGCTTAAGAAACTCGTCAAAGCAGCTAGTCACAATTATTCTCAGGTTTTTCGTCCCTGTGACTGTCCACCAGGCAAAGTAATTCTTGCCGCATTTCGTGACACCTATGTGAGCGGAATGGCAGACAATGATCCCACCAGTGTAGATCGCTGTTTCGAATATTTTCTCCACGGTCATTGCGAGATTCCATCCCTTCTTCGTATATAAGAACCCATAATGTAACGGCGCAAATACTGCCCGAAACACATAATTTGCTATTTCGAATTCCGGTAATACCGCGTCGGTCATATCACTCACGGAAGTGTCTTCATTAGCTAACACGCTGTCGTAGGCGTAATCGATGGCAGCCTCAATTAAGCCATCGATAGTGCGTTCCGACCAAGAGGCTAGATCATGAATCAATGACCACGCCATGATACAAAGATCAATTGGGATCTGGATGGACGAGTTGTTATAAAATATTCTCTCAAATGGTATTATTCTCACCTTCTCCATTTTCTCGTTATCTTGAGCCTCTAATAGCTCGAACGGTGCTAATGTAGGCGTCGTAATGTTCTTCTCCAAAACAACTTTGTCGAGCACCGAGGCCTTGTAATATCGCATCGGTATAAAACCGGCCATCGCGACATCACAATGAGGATCCAGTTCTGGACCCTCAGTAACCCATTTGACTAACTCGATCAGAGACACTTCCGACTTGACTGTTGGCGTTGATACAGCCAGTTTTTCTTCGCTAGAAATCAACTCTTTCGTCATCTCTTCTAATTTCGGGCGACGCTTGATACCTTTCCTTCGTTTCCGTTTTTTCATTTCTGCGTAAATGACTGATACGCTATAGATACGGAAAGGTTTTCTTACAGTTTTATCAGCGTTTTCTTTAATTCTGTCGAGCATGGATTTTAAATTGCGAAATCTCATGAGACAGCAATAGCCTTCTTCGTTGACCTTTCCCTTCTCGTCGCAAGGATAAGGATCAAAGAGATAGTATTTATCGTCCGCTGTCCAAAATGCATAAGCGCAATTTGCTAACACCAATATACCAGTTTGATTGTTTTCTAAAAATTTATTGATTACTGCATCAAGCTCGTCGGACGGAGAACTTTCGGGATTAGCATAAATGATTTTTTTCAGAATAATGTTGAAACTTGTATCCAGAACGATTATTTTTAAATAAAATGTTCTATATCCATTGTATCGCAGTTTGCCGATTTGTTGATCGATGCTATTGGCGGGAAAGATCAAATAATCTAGAATATTGTCGCAAAAGCGATCTGCATTTAGCATGTTTTTAGCCAAAATGCATAATACAGCCGAAATAAAGCAAGATTTGAAGTGAGAAGGTTCAATTTTTGTACGATCCAATAAACTATAATTGCCTTGTATTATCTCTGTATCTTCATCCACGACCTTTAAATAATATTCAAATTAATTGCTAAATAATCTACTTGTCAAATAAATTATATAAATATTGAGGCAGAATGACAGATATAAATTAGTTTATAAGACTCTGAACTATATAATGTACATATATATTTATAATATTAAATAATATTGCATTGTTTCAACAACTTAAAAAATAAAAATTTTGAAAAAATAATTTTAAATATTTTGAATTATTAAAACTTTGTAATATTAATTTTGAAATACAATTTTTTATAAATAACTGATTATAAGAGAATAAAAATATGTTTTTTCAAAGTATGCTTTTTTCCCTTTTCATTCTCTTTTTACAAGAAATTTAAAAAATGACAATTTTTTAATTATGTCATTATTGTAACGTGTCACATATATTTTGTACATTATTAGTACGCAACAATTCTAAAATATATAAATCTATATTACAAAATTACTTTGAAACCAATAATTTCCGATGGCGGAAGCTCTATTTTCTTATCGAAGTATTCTGCTTTAATTATCATTTTTTTCCTCTTTTTCATCTTATTACCACTTATCTTGTTTAATAACTGAAAGGAAATTTAAATTAAAAAAAGCTTCTATAAAAGTAAAACAAATAGTAATAATATCTACAGTGAGAAAAAAGTTAATTTGACTGCATTTAGTTCATAATGATTATTTAGTTCAAGTATTTATATATTTAGCTTAAATAGCCATGTCAATAAAATCTTGTATTTTAAAACATGTTATTTGTTTAAATTAACGACTATTTGCTAACCTATGACAGCTGCGTTTAATCAAATTAATTGATATTATTTTTAATTAAAAATTTTTTGTCAATGTATATAAATGAAAAAAAAAAATAATAATTTTGGAACCATTTTTATCTAAATATGCTTTTTCTCTTTATGTGTTTCTATATGTTTTTACAAGCGACTAAAAAAAAAAATAACAATTTTTAAGTTAAATCATTAGTGTAGTCAATAAGCGATATATTTTGCACATTATTGGTAACGCATCAATTCTAAAATATCTAATACTATCTAATTTTAAAATTATATTTGAAGTCAATCACTTCTGATAACACGAAAGACCTACTTTCTTATCGAAGTATTTCTCATTAATTATCGTTTTCTTCGTCTTTTTCGTTTTAACATCATTCTTGTCCAACAGCTAAATAGAAAGAAAGTTTAGATTAAAGAAAATTTCCATAAAAATAAAAATCAAATAGTAATAATATCTACTACAAATAAAAACGTGATATAATTTTGCAATTTTTTTTGTCTCTCAAACTATATAATAATATATAAGCTTGCCATGACAAGCATTGTATTAAAATTATAAAAATACTGTGTTTTACTGTATAAATAAGTTATAATTGATGTTCTATCTCATATTAATATTTTTTGTGGAGAGTGCTACTATAAAGCAGAAAAAATGAATAAATCAAAACATTATATGTCTATTATACAATTTGTATCTTTATTTGGATTTAAATATTTTAGTATTTTTATTTAGACTTACAAACTTTTGAAATTTTAATATCTTTAACGATTTTTTTAATTAATAGATCTAATTAAAATTTTTTTGCAGAAACTTTGCTCATATCTTTAATATAGTAATTTCTTATAGAATTTTTGAAGTGATAATTTTTAAGAAAATAAGTTTTTATTTCTCCTGAAAAATTTTATAAATTTATGACGTTTTGTTTTGGCACATCTTGCACTTTTTATTAATAACAATATATATATTATTATTTTCTTTATTAAATATATGTATATTCATTAATTATTATATATTCTTCTATTATATTTTTATAATTATTAAAAAATGAATTAACCTGCAGAGGCACATCAAGTTGAAATTTCAGAAATTTAAACTTGAATAGAAGTTTTTCTGTATCGGTGATAATCTTTTTGATAGTAAATGCAGTTTTCAACGCTCTCTTTTGCTCATCAGGATATGTTAGATGCTTTATCACTAAAACGGGAGTCTTAATTATCGGTCCACGTGGTATCAGTTCTGGTCTCACATAAGACACTCTCGATAATTTCTCTAACATCTTATCTTTTTCCCTTTTTTTCAGCTTTTCTCGCTCAAGATATTTCTCGTCGATTGCTTTATCAATTTCTTTGTCCTGAATGTAACTCTCGTCGATAGCTCTTAAAGGCACCATACGGATAGGCGGCAATCTCGAGTACAAGTACTTCCTGAGAGATAGCTTAATCATCTTTGAAGGTTTCGTGTCCCGAAGCAACGGCACGATCGTGGCTAATGTGGAGTCTACAGGAACATCACCTTTCTTGATTTCCAATCTCGAGTCGATCGAGAATCTCGATACGAGAGATGGGATCGACTTGTTGGCTAATTTTGCTTCCAGCAAAACGCGAAGCGTTCCCCTTGGCGGCATCACGTATGGCGGTGGATGATCGTACTTCATCTTTTCCATTATTATCTCTTCGGGTAAGCTCTTTAACTCTTCTTCAATCGGATCTTGGATCTTCACTGTGGAAGTCAAGAGAGCCAAGTTTAGGCTATAAGGTGCATCAGGCTGCACGGATTCCTCGACGAATAACGTAGGATCTTCTTTCAGAAATTCACTTAATTCTTTTTCTTCCACTTCGACTTTTTCTTCCTCCTCTTCCTCTTCCTCCTCTTCCTCTTCCCCCTCTTCCTCTTCCTCCTCCTCTTCCTCCTCCTCCTCCTCCTCCTCCTCCTCCTCCTCCTCTTCTTCTTCTTCTTCTTCCTCTTTCTCTTCTTCCTCTTCTATATCCTTTTTATCAAGTTCTTTTACCACTTCTACATCCAGTTTCTTTTCTTCAAGTTCTAGTAAATCGTCATCGGTAATTGGAAGAAACTTTGTTTGGAATTTTTCTGTTTTCTCCTCCGGTATTACGATTTCCACAGACGACTTGTACTTTCCTGGTTCTATAGCGTCCAGAGCTACGAAATGAAGTGAGAAACGCGAATTGTTGTATTCTAAGATGCCATAAAGCAGTTTGATCAATTCATTGAAACGATCCGTTACATTGAAGCCAGCTGAATATTGCCAAAAACGCCATCCCTCCTGATTGCTACCATAAGGATTAAAGAGGAAGAATTTTCCATCCTCCTTCCAAATCGCATACATCAATCTATTGTTTTCCAATATCGTTTCGGAATATCGTTCAAAGTAACGCTCGAGAGCCTCCGCGAGATTAGCCAAAGGATTCGCATCACCATTAGCAACATTCATTCTTGTTTTAAAAAAAACGTTGTTTTCAGCTAGTTTCAATGTAGGAGGTAAGAGAGAGATATCCAAATGACTCGGAGCACGTGCTACTTTCCGAACAACAGCTTCTTCTTCTTCTTCTTCTTCTTCTTCTTCTTTTTCTTCTTCTTCTTCTTCTTCCTCTTCTTCCTTCTCTTCCTCCTCTTCTTCTTCGGCTTCTTCTTCCTCTTCTTCCTCTTCCTCTTCTTCTTCTTCTTCTTTCAATTTTTTTTCTTTCATTTCTTTTATTTCCGGTCGACCTTGTTGAATCCATGTTATAACTTGTTCGTAAGCCTTGTTGCCTATATTAAGAATTTGATCTACGTCTATACATCGCCAGCGCGTCGGATCCTTTAACTTTCTATATGCCAACACAGTCAAAGCGATTATTAATCCTTGTCTACCTTGTGATCGCGTATTATATGTGAGATCCATACAAGTCTTGGTACCACGAACGATAAGACAGTGATTGTTTATTAAATCATATCCTCTGATAAAGCCTACTTTCACTTCTTCTTCTTCTTCTTCTTCTTCCTCCTTTTCTTCCTTTTCCTCCTCCTCCTCCTCCTCTTCCTCTTCTTTTTTCTCTTTTATTTTCTTTATTTTCTTAACTTTTTCTTGGGCAATTATAAAAGTTACTGGTTCATCAACCGTCATCATGTATTGATCTATATCCTGCATAAGCTCCGGATATTGAATAGACACATCTGCAAATTTATGTGACTCTGGTCGTAAGCGTGGTGTCGCATCGATCAAATCAACTTTTGTCATATCCATTGATACCAGAGGCAACGGCGCCCGTGGTCTACGGTTTGTACCACTCTCTCGATAAATCACTTTTTCAAACTGCCCACTTGGCGTCACTCCAGTCTTGACATAAAGTACCTTGACTCCATGTATTAGGAAAGGATCGTTTTCCTCATTGCTAATATTCTCCAGCACTATCTCCACCATGTCATTTACGGTGCTATTCATGGTAACGCAAGCAACATCTCTCGTAGTATCATGTGTCATGCGTTCTCTATCACTGTAATCTATCCTGAAACCCTCATCGTCACAAGCAAATGGATTAAAGAAATAATATGAGTCACCATCCTTCCAGATCGCGTAAAAGATTTTCTTGATCTCGAGTATTCCGAGTTCTTGCATCTTAAAGAACTCTTTTATACCAATTTCAATAGAACTTTTCTGCGTTTGACTCGATATTACATTCGCATCTACCTTTACCTTGGCAGAATATACTCCGAGAATAATATCGCTCATTAAATCGTCTAAACGAAGCTCGAATTCGTTGTCGAGTTTCTTCTCCAGAACTCTGATTAGATCGATTAGATAAATATTGGCCTGATTAAAAATCAAATCGATTAAAGCGGTCGTCCATTTATTGGCATTGATCAATCGAGAATATATCAAGGCTGCCATAGCTATAATCAGATGTCCTTTACCTCGCAGAGCTTCCGGAATAACGGGATGCATTAGATGACAAGATCCCTGTACGATAGCTCGATATTTTTCACAAATTTTATAACCGCTCGGTCTTCTTCGCGGCTTCTCAAGTATCTTCGCCTCCTCGACATCTTCTGGTAAAATCATTTCGACATTGCTGATGAATATAGGATAAATTACAAAGGGTTCATTTCGAACGTTACTCTTTTCAAGAATGATAAACAGTAATCCTATCAAGTTTTTCACGAGAAACAGTTTGGCTGATCCACTAACTCTATCTGCTGCTGGATCGCCGCTTTCTCGTCGCGCCTGACCATCAAATATATAATAATACTTCGAATTCTTCCAGATCGCTATATTGAGCACCGGTGATGTCAGGATCCCGGCATTGTGTCGCTCAAAAAATAGTTCTAATGCTTTTGCCAGATGAAGCTCTATCGGATTGCGCGAACGAAACTTCCCAGCATATGCCGGATCCTCAATCTTAACTTCCACATTAAATTTTTTCTGAAGAAGAAGAATCCTTTTCAAGTCGAGGATGGTCATTGTCCGGCGATCGTCCGTGTTCACGTCTTTGTAGGACTCGCAATAAAAAGTGTCGCCGTCCTCGACGATTTGATCGATCATCGCTTCGTTCCAACAGCGAGATTTGTGAATTCCGGTCGTGGCAAAAGCTGCAATCGCTATGGCGCCACCCTGTTATTAGAGCTGCGAAATGAGAAACTGCAAAGCAATATTTAATAATATTTGTATTTAAAAAATAATTGTTTTAATATTGGAATTTTTAAAATTAATTTTCAAATTAATTATATCAAAAAGAATATATAGAATGCAACACAAACAATTCGCTAATTCCTTGGAAAATGGATGAAAGCAAACAATTCTCCTGTGAAAAAATGTTAAGAAACATTCCTAAAATAAAGTTTGCATCATCAACTAATCGCTATTGTGATTACCTGATACCCTCTAGATAACGGTGAGAAATACGGCATGTTTGAGTGAATGAGGCCGGAACGAACACCATACTTGACGCACAATGGTAACTCCGCTGTAATTTTAGTAAGAGAGTAAGTATCGTTCGGTAAATCGAGCATGTTATTCAAGTTCCGATATTCTTCTTCTAGATCCTCATCGAACTCGTCGCTGCTCGGTGTATCCTTGGTCATATCTTTCGTAATATCTTTCGTAACATCTCCGATCGCATTGATAGTTTCGGCCGAAACTATCTCATTATATTCAGCAAGCTGTTTTATTTTTGTCTTGAATAATTTTGCTTTCTCTTTGTTCATATCGAATGATGTTTCCTTCTTAAGCTCCATATTTTTATTTTTGTTTTATATAATTCTTAATAAATTTTCAGAAAATATAATTAAGTAAACATACAGTTATATAACTCTCTACCACTTTGATTTTATAAAATCTTAATTAATCAAAAAAAGAGAGCTAACCTGAATTAATGAGCGACATAAGCAATATATGAGACTGCATTTAATCAACAGTTTATAATGTTTACATTTTCTGATATCCAGTAGCTATATAAATTTCTGAAATATTGAATTTAATTAAAATATTGAGTTTAATTAATATTTGTTGAAAAATGGACTAGACAAACACGATTAAATTTAAATTTTAAGTTAATTAATTTCAAGTTGGATTAAGTCAAATGAAATTATCAACAGAATAATTCGATCGACAAAAATGACTATTACGACGGAATCATTCCACCATGATTACAACTATAGGCCTGTCCTTTTTGGCTAAACTTTTGCATCAATTCATCTTTCTTCTTCTTCTTTCCTTTTGAAAAAAAAAAAAAGAAAAAATGAACTAGTGCAAAAATTCAACTAAAAAAACAGGCTTATAAATGAATGAATGAATAAAGCTGCACTTTGAATGTTATATAAATACATTGTTATTTTTGTAATATTTAATATTTAGCACGTATACGATCAATTATTTGTGTACGTACTCAGACAATAATATATACTTAAATAATAATTTAAATCATTAGGCTAAATTCTTTGGATCAGAATCATCCTAAAGAATTGAATCAATCTTAAGAAAGACTTGCTTAAATCTTTAAAAGTGAGATTTTGATCTTTAGAATGAGATTCATTCTAAAAGTCTTAGAAAATTATAGATAAGCATAAAAATATCTGAAATTTTAACAAATCACATTAAAATAATACGATAATAGAAGTATATAACAATGATTATGCTAATGGAGAATGCAATAAAATTCATAAGAAAGATGAGTTGTCGAAGATTCAACAAAAAAAGCTTTAATTATAATAAAACTTTATTTAAGTATATTATACATATTTATTTAAGTATTATATATATTGAAATTAAATATTTAATTTATATATGTATATAATATATATTATTTAAAGTTTTTAAAATGATTTCCTTTCTTTTTTTATTTTAATTAAAAATTACAATAAAATATTATATATAGAATTGATAAAATGTCTTAATTAATTTACATAAATATTGTTATGTAAATTATTAATTTCGTGAAATATATGCAGTTTTCAAAAAAATTTTTCTTTTTCGAAAAAAAGGCACTATATAATAATAATTAAAATGCAATTGCATACATATGCACGATAATTTATATTCATAAATATTAATAATTGTCACGAATTAAATAAATATTATTACAAAAATGTCAACTGCAAATAGCAAATCTGTAAATAAAGAGCGTCTATTATGTAAAATAAAATGAAAGTTTTTATTGCATTAAAAAAAAAAATTTTATAATTACTAAAGAAAATACGACAATTTGTGAGTTATAATGTACGTACATGTGAGTTATAAATGTTTATAATGTACATATGTAAATGTGAGTTATATTTTTTAATACATATATCAATGATTTAAATTATAAAATATTTACAGAATAAAATATTTTTTACAAATACCTTAAGATATTTATAAAATTTCTTAATTATTTTAGTTCTAGAAATGAAATTATTATTTATTTTATTTATTGTGTCACATATTCTTATAATTAAAAGTAAAATTAAGAAAACTCACTTGTTTCTTGATTATATATTTTTAAAATCTTATTTAATTAGCGTCAGTTCTAGAGAAATGTATTGGGTATGAATGAATTAAAGATATGACAAAATATTTATTATGAAACCAGGGTATAAGTATTTTTACGAAATATATTCTTGTTGTTAAACTTGATTACAAGAATCTTTCACATTTCTCGTGAACACAGGATGAACACGTTGATTACGAGACTATATCCTGTGTTTGATATTTCATATATGTATGAAGAAATTGCCATATTGTAAAGTCATTATAATTGAGTAATATCTTTGCCGACAAATTTATCGACTGATTTTATATGACAATTACACAACATTTTAATTGCGACCTTTTTATGTTTTACACATACTTCTATATTTATTTCTAATTTTAAAATTAAGTTTAGAATATACAAATTGATTAGATTATTCATAATTATGTTTTACACATACTTCTATATTTATTTCTAATTTTAAAATTAAGTTTAGAATATACAAATTGATTAGATTATTCTTAATTATGTAAATAAATCTACAGTATAAATGTAAATAAATCTACAAGATAAATTTACAGTAGTAAACATTAAATTTGCATTTTTTTCATGAAGAATTATAACTGTGGCTATAATTAAATACAACGTTTTTTCAAAATATATTTTAAATTATAATGAGAACTAAATTAATTATTTCCACAAGATAAAGTTCATAGAACTATATATATGCATTTTTAATTCTATTTATTAAAAAAAATATAAATTTTATATAAATTTATGTAACAAAAATAATAAATGTAAAAAAAAAGAAAAAGAGAAAAGAATAGAAGAAAAAATATAACAGAATCATTCGTTAATTATTATATTTTCAATTACTAGTCTATAACGAAATTGTTTTTCACACTTTTTAATGTATTTTTTGCCTGATAAACACGAATCCGTTTTAAAAATTTTTACATTATGTAAAATATATATAAAATTTTTTTTAGCAATATACAAATTAATTAATTATTATAGTTTTAAAAAAATTATATTAAAGAAACATAAACAATAATTTTCAGAACTTTGTCTGCAGTGACAACAATTTTTCTTCTAAATTTCATTAATGACATTTCATAACGACAAAAATATCAACTTTTAGCTTTAAATTGCATTTTTTTCGTTTTGATATGATGTTCCATTTTTATGATATAGCAATTTAAAAATAATTCTTTTTTCATATAATACAAATTTTTTCATATAATACAATATGCAAAATATTATTCAAACTTAACATTGCATTATGTGGAAAATAAATGTTTTTGAGCGAAATGAAATTGATAAAATACAATATGACCATTTTCAAATTGCTAAAAAATGTACCAAAAAATCATACTAAAATAAAACAAAATACTTTTGAAAACTAAAAAATATAATATATTCGCAAGGCATTGACGAAATTTAGAAAAAAATTTACTGCTAGTGTCATGCAATGTCATGAAAATCTTCAAAATCGTTCTTAGTCTCTCTTTGATTTTTTTCAAAAATGTAACTGATAAAACAATTTGACATCAATAGATCGCAATAGAAAAAAAATTCTGATTATATTTGATTGATAATCTGGTCAAAAAACAAATCAGAATTTTTTGATTAAGTATATTATATTATAATCTATATTATAATATACTCAAGATAACCATTCTCAATACATCATATTCAGCATTTAAAAAATTGCAGGAAATGTTTATTCAAGCTTAAAGTGTAAACTCACAGGCTAGTGTTATTAAGACCTTTGTTAAGATCTTTGTTAATTTTCAATTACGATATATAAATGTAAAAAAAAATTTTTTTATCAAAATGACTAAGATCAAAATGAATTAAATCTGCCAGTTAATATGTTCTATATATATCGCTTATTGGCATTTAAAATGATTGATGAAAATATACACGCGATAATCAGACGCATGACCTATGTTCTCATCTGATAGAAAGGTTAAACACACTACTAGGAAGAATTGCAGAACATTCTCATAAATTTCAAAACGTCGCGATACTCATTATCATTAATTACCAATTACTTAATTAATTTGCATAATATTTGTTAAAGAATCTTATACATATTTTTCATGATGTAACCAGAGAATGGGAACTGTTACTTTTTAAAAGCAACAGTTACTTCTTACCGTGTAAAGTAAAAGTTATCGTTACTAGTTACCGATTTTTAAAAGTAACTCGTTACAATTAGCGTTACTTGAGAAAACTTTCGTTACTTTTCTGTTACTTTTTTAAAATCGATGATTACTAATCACAGCGGACGGGATCTAGGAGCCTAGGGGTCTTAAGCGTTATGAATAGCTTCTGTCACAATCATATTGTGTCCAATCGTGTATAAAATAATGATAAAAATAACTTTTGTTACTGTAAAATTCGTTACCAAAAAAATATAATTTCGTTACTGTTACCAAAGAAAAAAAGTTATCAAAAAATAACTTGTAACTATACTCAGCAAATAGATTAAAATGAGAATAGATTAAAATGAATCGAAATGGATTCAGATTTTCAGAAATATCGATTCACGAATGTTAAATTGAATGCTTTTCAATCCTGAATGTATTTTTATTCATTTATAGGAATTGCATGGAGCATATCTCTATGCCTTTGAACCTAAAAATAATATTAGCTTTTCTGTGCAAAACACATACATTGTGAATATTATTCAATTCAAAATTTTGAATAAGAAATGTAGTTTTTCAATCCAATTAATTGCATCCAATTAAATCCAAAATAAATATTTGCTATTTAAAATACGCATTCGGATAAAAAAATTTCAATCCACTTTAATCCATTCTCGTTTGCTGGGTAACTTCATTACAAGTAACAACTTACTTCCATTCTCTAGATATAATAAAGATATAAAAATGATATAAAGTATTTCCCCCGTTTTACTATCAATAACTTCATTTATAAAAAATAAATTAGTATATGGATATTATATTAAATACAGATTATTAATTTATATTATATTTGTTTATCAATGAATAACATCAATTATAAAATATTAATGTCTAATAAAAAAAACAAATAATCTCTAAATTTATTCATAAAAAAATGTTATACTTTAAATTTAAATATATTTACATATTTTTAGATTTTCCCAACAAATAAAATAGAAAAATGTATGCAAAATTTTTTATTATCTATTAATTTTTACATTTTGTACAAAAGTTTAGAGATAGTGACTAATGTTATCAGAATAAAATAAATAATTTTGACGAATACATTGGAAAATCATAGATCAGTTTGCATTGA